CTCATGGCTATGTAGTAGCATCTCCTTGTAGTTATAACTCTCACGTCCTGAATGTCTAGTAAACCACGTTTTTGTAGGATTCTTAGCCATTTTAATAACTACTTTGTGAAATGACTTTTTGGGTTTTTCCTCATTTTTCTTGTTCTAATGTCTTATTATCTTTCTATAGACAAAGAACCTGAATCTATACTATCTATACTATATTACTACGTGGAAGAACAGGCTTCATTTCACTCAGTAAATGGTTCTTCATTTGGGTTGTCTGGCTCTCACGTCTAAGACTTAGATGTTTTGTTTGTTTCTGTTACGAAACAAAGATAAGGCACCAGGAAGCCTTGGGATTATAACCTAAAATGGCCTTCCAGACCACATTTCTAAAGGTCAGAGACTAAGACAATAATTTCAAGTGTCACTTGGCCCTCAAATGAGCTTTCATTGTGATGGATTATGACATAACCCATTGACATGATAAGGTACCTATTATGTTACAGAGGCAGTTGACTGAAATAATAGGATTCTTCTTTATGATCACAGTGAGTCTTTCACGTATTACTGGTTTCATCAGATAGATAAATATAACTTGTATTTGTTGGGACTCAGAAAACTATAAATGTGCCCCCAAAAGTAGGGTACTTTGCTATGCTGAGCATGGTGAGTTGATAAACTGTACCCCCAAAGGATAGGGTACCCTGCCATGATGAGCGTGGTGAGTTAACGTGGGATTAAGGTCTCTCTGTCCTTGATTCTCCTTCTGGACGTTGAAAGTGAAGCCAGCGACTGCTCTTCCCTTTTCTTCCCACCTCTACCAAAAAGAGAATTCATTAGAACCAGAGAAGTGTGGGTGGGTGGGTTTTATTTTTTTCATTTTAGCAGGAAGTTTGATACATACATGGACTATAAAAATCCTCATCAAATAAACTGAAAGCCCATTTTGACTTTGTTCATTTCTGTGAAATTCAGCACTTTCTACACTGGCCTCAAGGGGTTAGTGTCCTAGATTGAACTGTGTTACTGTGATAAAATACTGACCAAATCAGCCTGCGGAAAAAGGGTTTGCTTCATCTTTCAGGTTACAGTTCACTATCAAGATAAGTGAGGCAGGAACCTGGAGGCCAGAATTGTTGCAGAGACTCTAGAGGAACCCTGAGTACCAGCTTTCTTCCAGCTTGTTCAGTTAGGAATTCAAGAACAGGGACAACAAAAACAACCAAATCTGCCGGTTTGGAGAGGTAGCTCATTGGTGAGAATGCCTGCTGAGTTTGGGTCTCACTTATAGAAGAGTCCCTCAGGATCCATCGTTCCAGTGTTGGAAGCTGTTGGGTAACAGGGCACAGAGACAGGAGGATGGCTGGAGCATGTTGCCTGCCCAGCACAGATAGCTTCAGGTTCAGCAAGAGATCCAACCTCGGAAAGCGGTGAGCCAGAAGGCCACAGGATAGGCTGGCTGCCTGTCCTCCTCTAGCCGCTGTGTGGAGCACACCCACACTCAAGTGCACATTTGTCAGCTCTGACACACACACACACACCCTTCAGAGTCACAGGTACAGATGAATAAATGGATAATTGCAGAAAGTCAAAAGCAGGGCCACTCTCACCAACAGACCGCATCCACTTTGCCCTGGGCGTGTGCCCGCGCAAGCGCATTCCCATCTAAGACGGAGGACTCCTTGTATCCTAATAAACTGCACTTTACTTAATAACTGCCCTTTCCCCTTAACCCCCAAGCTTGCTTTTTTATAAAGTTAAATATTGTTCCTGTCTCATGACAGCAGCAATGCAAAGGGGCACTTTTGCACGGAAGTGCTCATTATTACATTGTTAACCTTTTCGTTCGTTCTTTTTTTTTCTCAGCAAGTCGTTGGCTCTTAGAAAAATTGAACATTTTCTTGTAGAGTGCAATGCACTTTAACCAAATTTCTGCTCACAAATTTAAGTGACTTTCCAGCACCCAAAGGAGACAAGGAGGACTTGCTAGCAGTGGGAGCAAATCTAGAATGAATTGACAGAGGGTCAAGCTTCGCACCGTGGGCGGGGTGGGAGGGCGGTTGCTTTGTGCTTTGCCTTTCATTTCAGTCTGGGAAGCTTCTGCGCACACACGCCTTCTGTGTTGGTGAAACCTTGCTAACAAAACAGACAACAGCAAGACTAAGGTGAAGGTATTGATGGGAGCTTGGTTTGTTCGGAAGATCCATCAGTACTTTAAAACAATCCGTGTTTAACGTGGCAAATTGTGTGTCATTAAAATGCTAATGAATGGTAAGCAGCTGCTAAGTTTTTCTGCTAATGAATGGTGGAAGCTAAGTAGTTCTCCAGCCTCCTGTCTATTAGCATAGAGATGTGATTGGGCAAAAAGGGCGGAGAACACTCTGACCTTCATGGACAAGCAATCTGTGAGTTTGCCCCTTGCTTTCTGTCTGATTTGAGTTTGTTAGTACAGTGGGACTCTCACCAGCCCCTGGGGGCCTCTGTGTTACACGCTGTTGTCACCACCACCACCATTGAGGCCTTAGAGACGGAGCTTGGTTTTCCTTTCAGAGACCCAACCGCTACAAAAGAGTTCTGTTCCTTCAGTAGGCGAGTTAGATTAATCTACCTGCTCACTCTTTGTACCTTACAATTCTAATAATAATTGTGATGATAAATTGCTAAGGGCCATTTTCTCTAGCGTTCCATTTAGCTACGATTTTAAAGTAGGTCCTTTCAGATATGCCTCTGCGACATCGGATGCAATGATGTCATACATCATCTTGGATCTCCAGACTTGAGGTTACCAATGGAGATGGCATTACCTGATTAGGAGAATAATCTATAATTAAATGCCGGTGGTGTATACATACCAGACCAAACAGATTATTTAACTGAACATCAGGGAAACAAAACAAAACACTGTTTGGTCTATACTCTTGGCTGGTGATTCTCTGTACTAAGCCCTCATATGTGTTTCCTAATGGCCATGGCTGATCAGAATGGCTATTACAAATAATACTTCAGGTGCCCTTTTTCTCTTATTTCTTTTCANGTTCTTACTTTTTAATGCAAGTCTCATACAAGATTATTAGCACAAGCAGCATTATATATATATATATATATATATATATATATATATATATATATTTAAAGATCAGTGTAAATGAGCTTCGACACTCTGTTAAACACTGATGCCAATACTCTGGACAATTGATTGACAACAAGCCATCATTTTCTTTGGATACTCATTACCAAACAAGCAATCCCTGAGGCAGGGACGTCAGTGATTTGGGGACTGTAAGAGGCTGGTGGGCACTTCAGTGGTTGGGGCATTTTCTCTCAGTCCTCATTTCTCCTTGAAGCAAGTGAGAGAGTCTAGGCATGGAATTACTGTGTGATCCAAGACAGGCAAGCCAGGGAGAACTGAGCCCTCGTGTGCTGGTGGTGGTGATGAAGGCCTCAGCCCTCTTCAGAATGCCCCCAAAGTACAATTGATCCACATCCATGATCTGATAAATGAACATGCAAAATGGGGGACCGTCCCACAGCAAAGGAGCATTCAGCCTCGGAAAGACACAGTACACTGGTGGATGCCACAGCATGAGCAAACCGTGAAAGCTCTCATCCCAAACGAACAAAGGCAGTCACAAAAGGCATGGGAGGTTTTATTTAAATGGCGTGTTCTGGTAAATCTAAACATAAAGCAAATTGATTGGTGGTTGTCAGGTGCTAAGAATGCTGGGTAAAATGGGAAGAGACTGAAGCCAGGTGTAGAGTTTACATCACAAAAACGTTCTGCATGTGAAGATGGTATTCATCTGTCACTCTGAATGTGCCAACAAACCATTGAATTTATAGGTTAAACAGGTGAATTGTCTGTTATGTGATTAGTATACATACATACATACATACGACTGTGTATGTAGTAGCTCAGTTGATAAAGTGCCTGCCATGCAACCATAAGGATGTAAGTTTGATCCCCAGTACCCACATAAAAGGCAACCGGGGTGGTACATTTTAGGAGATCACTCTTGGAGTATCGGCTCAGGGAAGCAGAGGTAACAGGATCCCTTGGTCTACTGGCTTGCCAGCCTAGCAGACCTGCAAAACCCCAATTAAAACACCTGACTCAGAAAACAAGGTGTTGGGTCCCTGAGAAATGACATTTGATGCAGGTTTCTGGTCTCTCCATGCATGAGTACACATGTACATATACACCTGCAAAAATAGGCACACATGCATGCACACACACACAGACACACACAGCATGCCACAGCCTGTCTTCCAGAGAGCCAACCATGCCAGCAAATGTGTCTATACTCTGACTGTTAATGACTAAGAAGAATGCCAACATCATTCTAAATTACCCAGTCTTACACTAAACCAGATACCAAAGGAGGGAAGAGCTAACATTACTATTCAATGGAACAGGTGCCAATGTAAAAATTAAGACAAAATAATGAGTTCCTGTCTCCAGACTCCCTGTCTACGGCCAGACCACAGCCTACCTTCTTGTGTTCTCCAGCCTAGACTTCCTCTTTCCCCTAGACTAAGGAAAATTCTGTGACCATTTTTAAGACAACAAATTGAGTCATAACAATAGCCAGTAACTGCCAAAGTCCAAGTTTTCCTTCCTCATAAAAACCGCAGTAATTATCTCAGATTTGCATAAAATTTGTTGCTGGCTACTTATTTCCAACAGTAAAGAGCATCTTGAGACCCCCCTCCTTTATTCTCCAGCAGTCTGTGGCTCTGTGGGTTCTCAAAGATGCCAGGACATTCGCAGTGTGCCACACCCACTGGTGTGACCTGGGGACAGTGTGTCACCTGACCCTGAGTAACCCTTGGCTTGTGCACAGGGAAGTACTCTCTCAGGCCACGGAGAGCTCTTCTTGTCGGTGTTCCTCAGAGGCTTGCTTCTATGACTCTTGTGTTTGCCGGTCACAGCTCAGCAGCCTTGGGTTGGCCCAGTGCGCCTGGGCGGGAAAGGATGTGAGCAAGAGACTGAGCTTGCTTTGCTTTGTCCTTGGCAGGCGGCGCGTGCCACGCTACGACCCTGCCTGCTCTCGTGCGCACACCCACCCTGATGATGCAGCCTTCGCTGGACATCAAGCCGTTTATGTCTTTTCCAGTGGACAGTAGTTCTGCTGTCGGGCTCTTTCCAAATTTTAACACAGTGAGTACATGCTATTTTCTCTTATGTATGCCTCTGCCGTGTAATCTCTTTTCTTTGACTGCGTTCCCAGGTAGACCGCGGGTAGTCTCTGTTTCCAAAGAGTGTGGCTGAGGTCCCTCCCTCTCAGCTATACTGTGGGAAAATGCCCCACTCGGAAACTCAGCGCACGCTCAGTGTGTGGACTGTACTAATGTCTCCAGAGATGATGCTAATCTGTTACATTGTTCGGTTTTGATGCCCTGCACAGTGACTTTACCACTCCGTTGTTCCTGAGGCTTCATGGTGACCTTGCTCTCTTTGTTTCTCCTGAGACTTCATGGTGGCTTTACCCTCTCTGTTGTCCCTGAGGCTTCAAGGTGGCTTTACCCTCTGTTGTCCCTGTGGCTTCAAGTTGGCCTTACCCTCTATTTTGTCCCTGTGGCTTCAAGGTGGCTCTACCTTCTGTTGTTCCTGAGGCTTCGAGGTGGCTTTACTCTCTGTTGTCCCTGAAGCACACTGTTCACATGTGGTCGAGAGCACAATTTAGAGACATCGAGTCACATTAATTCTTTTCCCAACTTTCACTATAAAGAAAAATGAAAACAGCAACTATGGGCTTTGGCTTTCTGGGGGCCTTTTTAGTTGGAAGATGTCTGAGATCAAGTCTGACTTTCGTATAAACAGAGTTTTTATTTGGGAGCTCGTGTGAGTCCTTGAATCTGACTCTGACCAAAAGGAAGATACACATTTGAAATTGACACATCAGTTATCTGTGCAGTGTGTAGCTGTTCCTTCATTAAACATACATAATGAATACTTGTGAATTGCTGGCTCCGAATGGCAATTCATGTCAGTCAGCCAACTTCCTTTTATTTGAATGAAAGGCATTTCCTAGGTGTGCCAAGTAGAGGTGCCGCCTTTGAGCAGCCTGGTTCTGGGCAGGTTGGAAACTTTGAGCAGGAGAAGAGTTGAACACTGAGGGAATGGCATAGATTTCATCTGCACCATAGATAAATGCATTTGGTGGGGCAGGACAGTATTCCTGAACAAGAACATTCTAGACGCTGCCATGAGCAAAACAAACAATAGCGTTATCAACAGCACCAGACAGTGTGCTTTGGAAGCCCGGCCAGATGGGCCCTCTTTGCAAACTCTCCTCTGCAGAAGTGAAAAAAAAAAAAAAAAAAAAAAAAGCAGGAGGGTTTCTCCTCCAGGGTTGTAAATAGAATCTGTTTGGGGTCCAGTGCTGTATGATAACTGGCAAGTGGAGGATCGCACAGATTTGTAAAGGCTCTACCATTGACATGGCAAATAAATGGTTGGCTGGTTTTGTTTTTGTTTCTTTTCTCTTTCTCTTTCTTCTTTCTTTCTTTCTTTCTTTCTTTCTTTCTTTCTTTCTTTCCTTCTTTCTTTCCTTCTTGTTTTTCTGGCCAAGGCCAGCCGGCTTTTTTTGTTTGGTTTTTGTTTTAAGGCCTGAAAGGCAGCATGGAATAAGATAAGGCAGGCCTATCTTGGCCACATGACCACATCAGAAGTGAGAGTGACCCTCACGAAGCGAGGCATTGAGCTTGAGTCAAGCCTGCCCCTGAGTCTGCAATCATTTCCAAACACCCCGCTGTACTTGGAATGTTTTCTAGGTATTTGGTTTTGGTCCACTTATGTCTGTGGTCTGCAGCACCAGGGAGGAGGGGCTGCTGACAAGCAGCCTGGGTGATTCAGCAAGCTGAAATGTGTTTGCCTATGTTCTTACTTTTTAATGCAAGTCTCATACAAGATTATTAGCACAAGCAGCATTATATATATATATATATATATATATATATATATATACACTTTAAATTGCCCACCGGAGATTAGAGCTGTGTTACAAACACATTCAGCTTCTAGGAAGACATTAGCACCCAAGGCAACTGGAAAACTTCATTCTCTGCCCCTGACCACACTCTACTCCTTTCTCTGGGAATGTGTCGTCACAGCTAGCAACCTCTGTCCCTGCTCCTTCTGACCGCCTCACACCTAACAGATACCTGATTGCCGACGTGTTTTGCAAGTACAGATACTCAGTGATGTTCTGTAGGTCACTGTTGTCCGTCTTCAGAATGCCTTGCCTGCTATTACATCCAGAATTTTTAAGGGCTTTCAAAAGGGTTCTTCCTTAACGTAAAAATTAATTTTATATTGGCTTATTAATGTTGCATAGGGCTCACAGATGCACTGACATCATATTATTTATTTATTGTGCATAAGAATCTTATACTATATTGATAAAGCTCAATGAATATTCTTTTTATAAGGTTTTTTCCTTCTTAGAAGAAAGTAAGCACTGAATGTTCAAATACTGCTATTTCTTGATTACTACAGTGAAAAAAATTGCAAGGAAACTTAGCAGAAATACCGATTTTGCTCGATTTGCTAAATCCAAGTCTTGCCCCTTCTTGTGCTCTATTAAGGATTAAGCCACCCCTGGTGGGACTTCTCTTATCTTGTTGGCCATGGTGCTGCACACTTGCCCAGTGCCAGTGGGCTAAGACAGGACGATCTTCAGTTCAAATTCAGCCTGGACTCCATAGTAAAACCCTTTATCAACACACACACAGATACAGGAACACACACGTGCACACGTACACACACACACACACACACACACAGAAGGGGGGATGAGTCTCTGTGTGTGTGTGTGTCGCTCTGAGGTGCAGCTTAAATGACTGTCCCTTTCTTGTTTGTTCCATCCCAGCACCCAAGCCACTTGGGAAATTTCTTAGATTTTAAGATGTGGTTGGTCAATGACCACATTTATTTCCTCGGGAAATGTTTCTATACTGTTACCAATCATTTCACTAAATTGCCATGCATTTGCGATCATTTACATCCCTCCAGGGATTCGAGGAGTCAGTGGTTGTCACTCCCATTGTCAAGAGGAGTAGCTGGGACTTGAATTAGGACCCTTTAATGTTGAGGCTTGTCTTCTGGTTCTTCAGGCCCTTGGCTCTTTAGAGCCCTGTCACCTTCCACTCATTCACTGGGAACAAAGCCCAATCAGAAATCTCTCCCTGTCCTTGGGTGAAGCAAAAGAGGAAATGGCTTTTTGAATATGAAATACAAACTTCTTCCAGCAGTTCTGAAGAAGCAGAATATATCTGTAAAGCAGCTGTTGTGTCTTACGGCAGATCTTCTTACTGTCTGCTCTTTCCTTGAGAAACAGGGTGACCTGTACTCTCGCTTCGCTTTTGGCCACCGCTGAGATTAAATAAATATGAGAAATGGGATCAAATCTCATCAACTTTTGCCTGAAAAGTAGCAATTCCATTGCTATACCAAGACCCAGAAAATCCTCAGCTCTGTTAACTTCTTCAAGTTAATTTAAAATACATATATTTAAGAGCTGGAGAGATGGCTCAGTGGTTAAGAGCACTTGCTGCTCTTGCAGAGGACCCAGGTTCACCCCCAGCACCCATACAAATTGGTGCACACCTGTTTTAGTGCCAATTCCAGTGTGGATCCAATGCCTTCTTCTGACCTCCACACCCATGTGCATGCGCACACAACATATTTAAGAATAAAGTAATTCTTTAAAATGACATAGTCGGGTGTGGTAGTACACACCTTTAATCCCAAGCTCATAGTCAGGCAAATCTCTGTGAGACGGAACACGGCCTAGTCTATGGAGTGGATTCCAGGCCAGTCGAGGCTGCTTTCTAAGACTGTGTCTCAATACACAAACAGATACTTCATGTTTTCTCTTTTGTTTACAGTAGAGCAGAGGACTGTATGGCAGATAAGAATTAAAAAGGAATTCCGTCACTGTCTAAGACAGAATGGGCACCATGTTCTGTGTTGAATTTACACGTTGCAGAATCTGTGCTTCCCAGCGTCCATTCAGAGGTTGCCTTGCCTCATTCTCCACAGCTGAATCTTTCCATACTGCTTCTGATGGGTGAGCAGAGGCTGGAGAGATGACTCAGTGGTTAAGAGCTCTGCCTGCTCTAGCCTCTGAGGGCACCAGGCACACTTACGGTACAGATACGTACATGTCGGCAAATTCTCGTACGCATTAAAACAAGTAAGTAAATCTTTAAAAGAAAAAAAAAAAGAATAAACCATGTAAGACCCCATCTAGCAGAACTGTGAAGAGACTGATCAGGAATCCGGCCGTCGGCCACCAAGAGGGTGATGACTTGGGCCCCGGTCTGTGGTTGTGTTGTACAGAGAGATGGCTGGTGTCATTCACGAAAGTGAAGACCATGAAAACACAAACATCCATTCTCTTTAAGATCTTGACCTTCATGGTCCGACCCAGGAGGCTTTTTTGGCTGGCTACACACTGATGCTCATTTCTCCCGCCTCCCCAGCATTTAGGGTTTGTCTTTCAGGGGCTGCTCCTTCTCATCCAGCCTTCTGTCTGCATCGTCCCAGCCGCTGACTTTCGTGTTCTCGCTCGTATGCAGTTAGCACTCAGACTGACTTATGCCCCAGCCCCACCCCCATGCCAGTTTTTAACCTGTTCCCAACTTATTAAAGTTTCTATTTTTTGAGATTATAATATTATTTCAACATTTTTTTTCCTTCTTGTCCGGGTCCAGCCTCGACAGGTTCCTGCGTTCCAGCGTAGGGGCGCGTGGATTAGAAATGTCAGGTAGAATAAACAGAGCTACAAAAGAAATACAGAGATGATGTAAGATAGCGTCTGGAGGGCAACCCAGTGAATACTGAATCCCCTCACCCCCACGTTTATTCCTTATGACCTTTAAATGCCCCAATCCAAGAGGGGAAGAAAGCAAAAGCCATTTTTACCACAAGACAAGGAACCAACAAAGTGATTACCTTCTTAATACCTAAAACACTACGTAACCACAGCCTAGGTCGAGATACCCTGTTAGTAGCCCACACCTTAAGTCAAATCTGCTGTTAATAACGTTGAAGGAGCAAGAACAGGTCTGAACCCTCTGACCTTTAGTCAAGGTGGAGCGGATCTTCTTCCGTGGGCTCTGACACCTTCTCTTTCTTCCAAACCCTCCTGTCTA